CCGGTAGAAATTCTACCGTAGAATTGTAACAATGACGTGCAACTGACGTAGTGTATATAAATGTATTTTTTATTTAAAAATTTATTTATAATATTATATGTATTTATCACTTTAAAATTATGACAAGTTGAAAGATGATTATTCATAATTATATTACTTAAAATAATAAAAAAGTTTATTAATAGGATTATACAGTTAAAATTATGTATCTAATTACATCTTTAATTGTTATTATTATTTTTTTACATGCATGGAATTTATTTTGAAACTAATTAATGATAGGCACAACCACCTTAGTTTCTGACATCTAATTTGGATGTTGTGCAAAGGACGAAAAAGACAAGGTTAAAGTTAAACGAAATAAAGGATCACAACGAGGGGCGAAGTCAGATTTTTTTTTTCCCAGGATGAAATAATTTTTTATATATTAATTTATAAAAATTTTAAATTTCAGGGGATGATATAATTTTTCAAATGTTTATTTACAAAGATTTTCAAATTTTAGGGGATGAGCACCCCCTCGCACCCTCCTCCCTCCGCCACTGATCACGACGGGGACTGGATTGTTGGGTTTGCCAGCAACCTTGGGCATGGATCCAACAATGACTATGAATTTTGGGACATAAAAATAGGATTTGAAATAGCACTTAGAATGGGATCTTGGCGGATTGAGATTGAGATTGACTCTCCCTTGTTTGTTAACCCCTTAAATGTATCTTCGCAACTAACAGAACTCATAATCATAAGTCTTTGGTTAATACCTGCAGATCATTGATCCGACAGTTTGAGGAGGTCTCCCTTAAGCATGCCTTTCGTGAAGTAAATAGAGTGACTACTATACTAGCTAATTAAGCATGCAATATTTTTTTAAAAAAAAACCTTTTCTTCTTTTTGATTCTATTCCACGCTTTTGTGCATCTTGTTTCTCTCATTATTTGAATAGTTGTATTGGTACCAGTCTTAACTTTTTTTACCTCTTTTGTTTAATTAATATTATTTTCATTTGCACCAAAAAAAAAAAAAGAAAAGAAAAGAAAAGAAAGGAACAGACGAACTCTCATAATCTGAATGGTTGATATGAATGGTTTTATTGTGTATCAGATTAACTTTTGTACCTCTCTTGTTTAATCAATGTTATTTTTATTTGCAAAAAAAAAAAACAGACTTAGATCTTGTGCTCTACCATTATTTTTTGTCAGGACCACTAAACTTATCAAAATTTTATTTTAATTTAATTGTTAAAAATATTAATAATTAGCAAAAACAATTAATATTTATTATTTAATAAATTAAAAATAATTTTTAACTAAATATTTTTAAATATCATAATTAATTATTTAAAAAAACCTTAAACTAATAAAATTACAAGTAAAATTAATAATTTTTTTAAAAAAAAGGGACGAATGACTTGACCAAAATAAACTTACGGCCATAACCTCGGGTGGGGTTATTGCCACAGCCACTAATGTTAATGCCACAGCTTTTTTCAGTTATTTGACCATTAACCCACGCGGAGAAAGTGGTGACTGCTGCAAGTTGGATTCAAATGAAGGGTATAATAGTCAAATAACTAAAAAAAGCTGTGGCATTAACATTAGTGGCTGTGGCAATAAC